TAAGAAAGTTTTTACTGATTTAAGAAATTTTTTAATAATAATTATCTTTGATAGTATTTAATGGTATCATTTTGATTTTTAAAATATGATATTAAAATATTTTTAATAAAACTCTTCTATGTATTTATTTATTAATAATAACTTAAACTCTAAAATAATTATGAAAAATAATTTGTTGTATGTGTCCTGAATCATTATACAAACGCGTTTGTATCCATTAGAGTTATATAGGTGCCCTTACTTATGATATTGTCAAAAAAATTAAATGAGTTCTGATGAATCCTTTGATTAAAAGAAGTCAAGGAGAAATTGGTGTGATGATCCACGATTCACACAGGAAGTTGGTGATTCGTTTTTATAAATTAGCTAGGTCCGTCTAATCCTGTTTTAATGACTGAAACATTAGCTTTGAAAAGTTTGATGTAATTAGTGAATGGTAAAAGATTGCATAATTATATCTCATCTTTGAAATATCATTATTATTATTTTTTTAATTTTGAGTTATGAAATTGAAAAGTACACTTTCTCATTCCCTAATTCACTCCAACCTCCGTGAAGTTGATTAAACACTAATATCTATCTTGTTTTTCTTGATCTTCATTTCTGAGAAACACCCAAAAGCGCGATGAATACGTCGTTGGATTGCTCTTCCACAAGGCCCCTATTCCTCTAGACTTGGGTCAATAATGGAGGCGACAGCATGACAAATTTTCACGCTTCGGAAAAAAAAAAAAAAAAAAAAAAAAGATAAACGAAGAAGAAAGGATTTAATTTCTATTTTATATAATCCCAAGTGAACCTTTTTCCCACGTTCATAAAATATACATGCATGTTTACCCTATAAAAGAGAAGAACAAAATGAAAAAAATTGCGGAGTATAAGAGGTGTGCAGGAATAACAAATTTAAGCAGACCGAAATGATGAGGTCTGTGCCAAGAACCTGTATGTTCTTAGCTTTCTTTTGCTTCATGCATCCTCTGGTCTTCTCTAAGCTACATTCGAGCCAAACCACCATTATGATCTCACTTTCTCAGCAACTTAATGACACATTTGCCATGGGATGTCACCAAGGAGCCAAACCCATGTTTATGGCAAGGGGTCACATGCAGCCGCCCAAACAACAGCTCCAAAATCTCACTTTCTTTATCTGGGTTTGTTATCTTTAGCTCTGACTTTCTGAGTGAGATGTGCAGGATTGATTCTTTGCAGTCCCTGAACCTGTCCAACAACTATATGAAAAGTATCTCAGATGGGTTCTTCAATGGTTGTGGAGGGATAGATGGGTTGAAGGTGTTGGATTTTAGCTGGAACAGGTTGGTTGGTCCTTTGCATGCTTTTCGAAATTTTGTTGGACTTGAATTCTTGGATTTGTCTTTTAATAATTTGACTGGGGAGATTAATTCACAGTTGATTCAGTTTTTTTTTTTGGATAAAATGTGAAATTTATTATCCATAAATTGATTGTACAATTAAGCGGCAAATTAGTTGCTACCAAGAATACATTCTCTCAAAACAAACTAGCAAAACTACACCAATCTATTCCTTCACGACATCTTCCAGCCCCCATTGCTTAGCAATATCCATAGGCAAGGGAGAAGACTTTGGTCGAGCAAATCCCAAGATTTTGCACCTTACATCAAACTGAACTTCATAGACAATCTCATCATCAGCTTTAAAATGTTTTTGATGGATCCTCTTGTTCCTTTCCCTCCATGTGTGGTACATTGCTGCATTCCATGCTAACTTAACAAGAGTATTCTGCAAGGACTTTCTACTGACCTTTTTCCCCATCCAATGCAATAGACCCTGCCATGAATTAGTTAGGGGAATGCCTGCCATAGCACTAAGTGTTTTCCAGATCTTCTGTGTGTAGCTGCATTTAAAGAACAAGTGCTCAATTGTCTCTGGCTCATTATTGCATAGAACACAAGTGTCAACAATGCTAGGAGTCCACTTTCTTTGTTGAGCTTTAGTGCTTAGCCTGTTGAGAATAGCTAGCCAACTAATGAAGCTATGTTTAGGTATCGCTTGAGAGAACCATATCAATCTATGCCACACCTTCCTAGTCTTCTTCCTCTTTAGCCAATTCCAAGTCTGCCCAACCTTGAAATTTCCAAAATTTGAAGGTCTCCATATTACCATATCCTTCTCACCTTCTTTGGGGAACATGTCAAAGAGGTGCATTTGGATTTGAACTATTGAGGAGATCTTGTTGGAGGCCACTGCCAGAAATTGCCATTAATCACACTTGCCAACTTTGCTTGAAATGGGATTCCTGCATCCCTAACAATGTTACTGCCATATGCATCAATTAATGGCCCAGAAAGGTGCCAATAATCGTGCCAAATGTAAATATTTGTGCCATCGCCTGGGATGTGCTGGATAAGTCCCTTCACCATATACTGAAGTTTGAGGATTTTCCTCCACCCCCAAGATGCATCAGCTGGTATGCTAAGTGTCCAAAAGCTTCTACCTTTGATAAGGTACTCATGAACCCAAGCTACCCAAATTGATCCTGCCTTAGAAAATAGTAGCCAAATATGCTTGAGAATACACATTTGGTTCCACAAGCCAAGGCTCTTGAGGCCTAAACCACCTTCTTGTTTTGGAGAGTAGACGGTGAGCCAATTTACCTTAGCCCCATAAGCACTTTGAGTGGTATTATTCCATAAGAAGGCACTGCAAATCTTTTCTATCTCTTTTATAACTGCCTTAGGCAAAATGAAGATAGAACACTAGAAATTAGTGATACTTTGTACCATTGAAGTGATCAGTTGCAATCTCCTAGCAAAAGACAGGTGCTTTGCTGCCCAGGATGTCATTCTATCTGTAATCTTTGTAATTAAAGGCCGTAAATCCTTTTGTGATAGCTTTCTTGTGATCAATGGAACCCCAAGGTAACAAACTGGTAGAGAATCAATTTTAAACCCAAATTTCTCAGTAAGATGTTTAATGTGTACATCATGTAGCCCACAACAAAATAACTCAGACTTGGCATAGTTGATCGGTAGCCCAGATATTATATAAAATTGCTTCAATACATCATCTATAACATCAAGAGATGTTATACTCCCATTAGTAAAAATTATCAAGTCATCTGCAAAGCACAAATGCGTAAGCTGCACTTTCTCACATTTGGGGTGGTAGGAAAATTTCCCTTCAATGGCAGCATGATTAAGCATTCTTGAAAGCACTTCCATGCAGACCACAAAAATGTAAGGAGATAAAGGATCTCCCTGCCTAACACCTTTTTTCCTTGAGAAATAGCCACATAAATTGCCATTAAAAACAATTGAAAACATAGGAGTAAATGATGCAGATCTTGAGTAGGTTGACAAAATAAGTAGGGAATCCCAGAGATATCAAAACTTGAAAGATAAAGTCCCATGAGACAGAATCAAAGGCCTTCATCAAATCTATCTTTAATGCACATCGAGGGCTAAGCTGTGGCTTGTGGTAATGCTTTACAACTTCCTGGGCAAGTAGGACATTTTCTACCATTTGTCTCCCTTCCACAAAAGCACATTGGTTCTTGCTAATAAAGAGGGGAAGAGTTTGTTTGAGCCTGTTAGCCAGGATTTTTGTTATGAACTTGTACAATATATTACAACAAGTTATGGGTCTGAACTCTGTCATCTTCACTGGGTTCAAAACCTTCTGCACTAAAGAAATGATAGTGGAGTTCATCTCTCTTAACATCTTTCCAGAGGAGAAAAATTCCTAAATAGCTTTAGTAACCAGGTCACCCACTACAGGCCAAGCTACTTTATAAAACTCTGAAGTATATCCATCTGGACCAGGGGCTTTGTTTCTAGGGCTAGAAAAAACTACCTCTTTGATCTCTAAATTCGTGATAGGTTGCTGAAGAAAATCTACCATGGAAGTAGGCAACTGAAATTGAAATATGTTTTTAATCCAATCATCATTTACCTTTGTACAGTTTGAGTCAACTGTCCCTAAAAGGCCTTGATAAAACTAGACTGCTTCATTCTCCATATCAGAGATTTTAGTTAGCCTTCTGTTGGCTTGCGTATGCAATACTTTGATAGTATTTTTGCCTTTTCTGATTGTAGTTGGTATTGCTGTCCCCTTCTTGCAACCATTTAACTCTAGATTTTTGCTTGTAGAATGACTCTTCAGCTAGCTGTAGGGTTGCAACTTTCTGTGCTTGATCATGCTCAACCTGAATTAATTTTGTAGTAGGGCACAAAAATAGATCAACTTGCAGAAGATGCAACTTATGTAACTCCTCCTGCAATTTGTTAGGTAAGTCAGCATAATGCTTAGAATTAAGCTTCCTGAGGGCTTGCTTCAAAGCCTTCAATTTTTTGCATAGCTGAAACATATAGCAACCTTGTACTGTTGTGGCATCCCATACTTGCTTTACTGTGTTCAAGAATTTCTCATTCTTAGTCCAAAAGTTGAAGAACTTGAAAGGCTTCCTCCAGTTATTTTGTACATGAACCAAGATGTTTACACAACCTGCACAGTGATCTGAGCATCCAAGAGGCAGAAACTCAGAAGTTGTGTTGGGAAAAGTCTCAAACCAAACATCATTTACAGTTGAGTCAGTTGGTTTCACTCAAAAGTTTGAATCTTAGTTTCAATGGATTCAGTGGGTCTATTCCTACTCAGTTAGGGAAATCTTTTGTTTTGGAACAACTTCAGCTGTCTAAGAATATGTTCCATGGTAAAATTCCTGAAGAATTGCTGGCTTATAAGAATTTAAACATCATTGATATTAGTGTTAATAATCTTGCTGGCTCCATTCCTGAAGGCATCGGTAACCTGTCCATGTTGCAACTCTTGCTTCTGTCATCCAATCGTTTGAGTGGGGAAATCCCCAAATCGATTTCAAATATCAGCAACCTGCGGCGGTTTGAAGCTAATCAGAACAATTTTGTTGGTGAAGTTCCTGTTGGGATTACAACATATATCGAAATTTTAGACCTTAGCCATAATGACTTATCAGGGGTGATTCCATCCGACCTTTTGTCACAGTCAAGTTTGCAGTACGTGGATTGGTCTAATAATTTGTTACGTGGAACAATACCTGAAAGAATATCTTCCAGCAGCAGCTTGGCAAGGATGAGATTGGGAAGCAACTCACTAAGCGGCTCAATCCCTGCAAAATTTGCAACACTTCAGTACCTGTTTTACTTGGAGCTGGAAAACAATAACTTTTCTGGGTCCATTCCTCCGGAATTGGGTTCCCGCCAGAATTGGGTTCCTGCCAGAATTTGGTGCTATTGAACTTGGCCCAGAATGATATAACTGGGAGACTGCCAGTGGAACTGGGCAATTTAACCAAGCCTCAAGTTATGAAGCTTCAGCAAAACAAGTTGGGTGGGCAAATCCCAACTGAGATTAGACAGTTACAGAGTCTGGGAATACTCAACATCAGCTGGAATAATCTTACTGGTCCAATTCCATCTTCAATTTCAAATTTGAAGAAACTCACGAACGTGAACTTACAGAGCAACAATCTTGTTGGTTCAATGCCCGTCACTCTTGGAGACTTGAATCTTCTGTTAGAACTCAATCTTGGAGGAAATAAACTAAGTGGGAGTATTCCTAGAATGCCACCAAATTTGCAGATTGCTTTGAATCTCAGCAGCAACCTCTTTCAAGGACCTATTCCGGACACTCCTTCTCAACTGACGAGCTTGGAAGTTCTGGATCTCTCGAACAACAGATTCTCGGGCGAGGTTCCTGATTCCCTGCTTGGATTGGTGTCACTAACGCAGCTCATACTTTCCAATAATCAGCTCTCTGGGGTTCTTCCTCAGTTCAGCAAGCATGTTGTGGTCAACGTAAGTGGAAATCCACATCTAATAATAATTAATGAAGCGCCATCACCAAAAACTTCTCCGGAATCGGAGAAGATGAAAGCATCGGTGACGTTGTGGACTGTTGTTGGAGTTGAGGCCTTCATCTGCTGCTTCATCTTCTTGTGCCTGTTTTTCCATTTTCTCTTCCGAGATAAATCAAGGGGAACCAGAGAAGAAGCCATATCATAACCTTTTTCACTTTTTCCTTAAGTTGGGAGCAACGGATTCCATGGCCGTAAAATTCAGAATAAGATGCCGCCGCTCACAACATGTAGACCAAGACCATTGATCTTTTGTATGCTCAAATAATTGACATAATTTTTTCTCAACTTACACTCCATTTCACTCAACTAATTTCTATCGATCTATGCATGGTAAAATACTCGTAACGATTTCAATCCTAACAATTAGAGGAAAATAGCTGCACTTTGTTATTATTATATTTCAGACGTTATTTTTGGCCTTAATCTTTCTTTTGTTTTTTTTCTCTTCAATTTTTGGAAACTCATTCATAACATTAAAAAAATATCATGTAGGATTACATTATAATGAGAAAATGTCTGATTGTAGCCAAATTCAGTGATGATCTACTTTTATTTAAAATAAAAAATTTTAAATTTGAGTATATGGTATGTTGATGAAATAAAATAAAAAATAAAAAATAATTATTTTTTATTATGTAATCTAAATTTAAAAAAAAATTGTCTGATTGTATGTCAAAATAGTAGGAGTATTCAATGTAGGGATGTCAACCGGGTCTCGCGGGATTGGGGAGTCCCTCCCCATCCCTATGGAGATTTTTGACGAAAGATAAATTTTGCCTCTCATTTTCATTTTTTGCGGGAAACGGGCATCTCCACAGGAATCCCCGTTCCTTACCAACTAATATCTAAATGTATATTTTTTACATCGAATATAAATAAATATTAATTTAACATAAATAGTTAGTAAAAAAAAATATAAGAAGTATTGGGTTGGGTTGGATTGGGTTGAAAAAAATTGGATTAAATTTTATTAAATTAGGTTTGGGTTTCAGTGTGGATTTTGATTTAAGTTTAAAAATTATATTAAATTTAAAATAAAATTTACTTTTTTTAAATTTTTTGCAAGGATGGAGATCCCACGAAATCCATGGGACAAAAAAAATTCCCTATAAAATTTTACAAGGGAAAAATGTCTCACATCCTCACCCTGCAAAAAAAATATGTTCCTTCTCGCTCTATTCCTACGAGGATCTCCGTGAGAATCAAGACAAATTGTCATCTTTAAATTTCAATGTACCATTTCAATTTGAAATGGATAAGATAAATACGTTTGGAAGGAATCGTAGTTTCGAGTCCTAATCCAAACAACTGTTTTCGAGTCCGACTCCGGTTCCGACGACCCATCAATCCGCTTTCTTAATTAATTAAAGAGTGTCCTGTTTTAGGCAAAACCCTTTTTAAACCCCTCAACTTTTTCAACAGCAAGTGAAAAGCTCCTGAACTAAAAAACTGGCAAATAAGCCCTCCAACCTCACGTTGGGTGCAAATCAACTCCTCTGCTAACTGACTTCGTGACGTCGTTTGTCGCTGCTTTGCATGGCATTGCACTTGCACACTTTTGCTTTATTTTTTTGCCTTTACTTCATTTTTTAATAATAATATATATTTT